TCCCGCTCTGCAACGGGCTCATCAACTCCTACGAGGACAAAAGCAACGACTTCGTCTGGTGGGTTTGAAGAGCATCACTGCTCGCTCCCGTCGCTCGGGTCTGAGCTTGTGCGCTCGGGCTGTTGGGTGCAGCAGGGGCGCTGGGGCTGAGACGGGGGAATGTCGGGGGCCCCGAGACGGGGTGGGGTGCAGACGAGGTAAGTCCTGCGGTGGCGGTGGGGGGTGAAGGGAGTTTAGGGAATAAATAAGGGGGGGGCGAGATGGAAAGGCAGTAAATGGGTGTGCGTAAAGGGAGAAAGCTGGGCGGGGAGGTCGGGCCTTGAATTTTCCGGCTCCCTGGTGAATTAATTAGGCTCCTACCGGCCCGATTGCTGGTCGAAGTGGATTCAACTTGTAAAGGGAGAGGGTTAAGCTTTTCGGGGATGCTGAGGGATGGAGCTGTGGGCCGGAGTTTGCTTCCTGAGAGTGTGGTGCGCGGTGCCCTAAGCACGGGTGTGGATGTTGTAATTAGCCGTGTTTCATGTAAGCGCCCGTGGGGTGTGTGTATAAACAGCTCCCGTTTCGGGGGGCGGGCCCCTTTGAAATATGCTGTTGAGGCTCCTGTCGTAAAGAAAGTCTGTTTGCCCCCCCCACTCAAATTTTACTTCTCAATGTCTTGAAAGAGGGAACCACGTTTACTAAATCTCGCCGGGTGTCGGCTGTAGCTCGCACCCGCGCGTGGCGCCGGAGGCTGCGCGGAGCTGCTGACCCGCGGCGCTGGGCATCGCTCAGTCCGGCGTCTCCAGAGGCTCAGCTCTGTCGTCGTCGGTCGCGATGGAGGAGACAGCGGCCGGAGGTGGACGACGGAGCTGGCCCTTTGGTTGAGAGTGTTTTGGGATTTTCATTGGGTTTGTATCCAAAATAAACGGTCAGATTGGTAGAATTGTGGGAAAGGAATCGCGTTTGGGCGAGTGAGAATGGGTAGGATTTTGTGGTTTTTCTCCGGAGGAAATTGTATGTAGACTTAGAATATTAGTGATATAGGAAGTTGGCTTGCACGCTCTCGTAGGGGAAGTTGATTCATTTTCAGGGCCAAAGATGATCTGAGTCGGTGTCATTACAGGGGTTTGAAGTGCCCGGGTCCATTTGTAGGTGGAATTTTTTCAATAAATACGGTTGGCCCTTGGATCCGTGGTTTCCAATCTATAGATTGAACCGACGCTGAACAAAGACAGTGTTTCGCATACCTAAGGGCAGATAGGAGATACTGTTTTCGGTCCCTGATGAGTTGAGTCCACCTTGCCAAAGGCCAACCTTAGAGGTAGAAGTAATAAGTGGATTTTCAGCTGTGTAGGGGTTGGTGCCCCTAGCCCCGGTGTTATTCAAGGGTCAGCTGTAAATGTGATAGGAAGTTATTGATTAGACTTAATAATTTCTAGTTCTTGCAGTCAATAATGTCTTCATGTTTTTGCTTTTGTCTTAAATTTTTCTGGATTCCGAATTAATTTATTTTTAATTGAAACTGGCCTATAATTGCGATTGTTACTTATAAATAAATTACTTAAGTAGCTTATGATTGGGTCTAAAGGTGTTTGGGGTCATACTCAATAGAGAGCGCCATATGATAAAGTAGAAGCTAATGGAACAAAGTGAGGGTTTGCAGGATTCAGTTGTCTTATTGATTGATTGAATGATTTTAGAGAGAGAGGAAGAGAGACAGACAGACATTGATTTTTGCTCCACTTATCCATGCACTCACTGATTGATTCTCGATTGTGCCCTGACTGGGAATCGAACCAATTATATCTTTTTAGGCACCGTTTGCATTTCAGTTTTCGGTAGGCTAAAAGAAAACATGCCAGCATTCGTGTAAGTACACTAAAATAGTGTAAAAGATGTGAGAAATAAGGGAATCAGGTATTCATTCAGCAGGTATTTATTTGGCACTCACTGTCTGCCAGGCACCATATGAGTTTCACTGTATTTACTACAGGCTATTTTATAGGAAATTGAGAGTGATGGGGGAGTATAAGTAGCTGGCACTTTTTTTAGGGGTAAGGTTATTTTTGGTGAAGTTGACTATTCAGAAGAATTCATTAATGGGAACCTAGTTTCCTGATTCTCAAGCTAGATTTGATTTTGCCAATCTTTTGGGGTAGAAAGATATGGATTAGGCAAGGCACAAGGAATCCTTTTCATTTCTAATTGACTCTGGGTATGGTTGGTCTTGTATGCTTCAAGGTCAAACTGAACCAATCTCAGTTACTCCATGCTTTTACATCTAAATGAGGTTGAAGTTTGAATAATGATGATACTTTCTTATTCATTACATTTTAAAGATGTTTATACTTCACATTGCATTTTATCCTTAGAGAAATTCTGTGAAGTTATATAGGCTTCCAATTTTAATACAATGCTAATGTAATTATATTTTGATTTCAGAGAGAGGAAGGAAGGTGGAAAGAGAGAGAGAGAAACATTAGTCTCCTGGCTCATGGTTCTGCACTCAGCCACTGAGCCATGCTAGCTGGGCTAATTATATTTCTATTGCGGTACAAAGAAGTTATGTAACTTTGTTTCAAATTGGACGGCTAAGGGACAAAATCAGAACTCAGATCTCCCAATTCTGGACTTAGTGCTTTCTTTGTATGGAATTAGAAGACTCCAGACCCACAGGTTTGAGTACAAGTATTTAGCCTAGTGGTAGATTGGAGGGAAACAGTTGTTTCATAATCACATGAGATAAATGGTTTTAATCCCTAACCGGTCCCTCCCCCTCCCTGTCAGCCTGCTCACATCCTCAGAGGACGCATCAGAATTGAGGCTGGAGCAAGGCAATGTAGTTTTCAAAAGCTCCCCTGGTGATGATGACTTACTGTCTTCTTGAGAACATTCGAATTAAAGTCAAATGCTTAATTTTCAGTAACACATATTGGCCTGCCTAGACTTATATCATATATAAAAATAAGTTTATGTTTAATTGCAGAATTTATGAACATTTTAGGGATTTATAGTTTTCACTTTAATATTTTCTTTCTCACAAAGGATCGAAAGTACCTATTAAATTGCAAGTACTTCTAAGTGATTTTATAGATAGAGAATGTATAGTACAGGAGAGAGTAGTATTTAACTTGAAGTTGGGAAAATCTTTGACATTCAAAGGAAATCTTTGTTTCTTTGATTTTTCAAATGTTTCTTCATGATCCATTTAACTAAAATTACTTGAGTCTAGCCTGTATTTGAAAGATGACTTCTTATTTTATCACGGTACTACTTACTGCCTTTGCATTAGCTTTTCGACGGCCTGAAATGCTTTTTTATACCTCTGCAAGGCCCAGTTATTCTCTTAAGTTGCAGCAGAAATAAGTGTTTTTAAGTAGATAGTAAGCCCCTTGTGGGAAGGGTTAACTCTAATCATCTGTCTGATAGGAAGTAGGTAGGATCTACATTAAATAGACCTACCATTTATGAAATCTGTCACTGCCACTGAGTCAAACTATTAATAATAGACTATCCTGAAGGCTCTCACGCTTAATGCAAAGAAAGACTTTTTAATAATTGTGTCATATCCTGGCATCATTGCTTTACTTAGGTGTTAAATACTCTTCTGAATTCAGATGTTATCTCACTGCATTGCACCCTAGGCAGCCATTACCTATAAATCACACTTAGCACTAAAGATGAAACCTGGACCATTCTTGCTTCTATGTTTTCCAAACCATTAAAAAGTGTTTTTAGGAGATGTTAAAGCATATTCAACTGCTGAAATAAACTAGAATTCATCAGATTGTTATTATAGCAGCATCAGTCAAGCACTTCCTTGAATCTGCAAAACAAAACTTGGCCCTGGCTAGTGTGGCTCCTTTGGTTGGAGCATGGTCCTTTACACAAAAAGGTTGCAGGGTTCCATTCTGGGTCAGGGCACATGCCCAGGTTTTGGGTTCAATCCCTGGTAGGGGTGAGTTTGGGAGGCAGTCTATTGAGGAGGTGTCTCTCTCACCTTGTTGTTTCTCTCTCCTCCCACCCCTCTCCCCACTTTACCCTTTCTCCCCCCCTTTCCTTCCTCTCTCTAAGATCAATTAAAAAAAACTAAAAACAAAACTTCTTTTAAAAAAATTTGTTTTTATTGTTGAGGGTATTACAGTTGCCCCCCCACACACCTCTTTGCTCCCCTTGCCCAGCTCCTGCCCCACCCCAGGCCATTATTGCGCTATTGTCTATGTCCCTAGCCTATGCATATATGCACATAAATTCTTTGGTTAATCTCTTCCTGCACCCACCCCGCACTTTACCTCTGAGATCTGTCAGTCTGTTCCATGCTTCCATGTCTCTGGACCTGTTTATTCGTCAGTTTATTTTATTCATTAAAAACAAAACAAAGCAACAGAAAAAACCCACCTTGATTCTTTTGCTTTATAATACATGTGTTGTTTGGATGACGATGGTAATGAAAGGTACTTTGCAGAATTTGTCAAATCATAGCAGTTCATTATGGTCCTTTTGTCAGTGTCAACACAAGATTTAGGTGCATCAGATGGCAGAGAAAATGAATGAAGATCACGAAGCAGGATATAAAAGACTATTATTAACTTGAATTCTGGTCTATAAATTGAGAGGGAGGTACTTGTGGAGTAGTTTATTACCAAAGAATGTACTGATTGAAGGCTACCTTTTCCCTTTACGAACCTTTCTTGATAATGAACCAACATTCTTTAGTTAACCCTATTCCACCTAAGAATTGGTAAAATAACTACAACCTTAAACTCTGTTGCTTATTTTTTCTCCTTGCATGCTCAAGTTTGTGCTTGATGGTGATTTCTTTCTGTTTTAAGTTTAGCCTGCAACCCTTTTCCCTCAAAGCTTTAGCTTGGGAGGAAGGCTTTGACAGTCATTCTACTTTTTCCTGTTAAAATTTGTATTATGCGAAATTAAAATGATTCTTAAATTCTTGACTTGTTTTTAACATGTGTCATCTCCCCATCTTTGCCTCTCACCTTGCTTGTTCTTTGCCCTGCCTTTTCTCACGTATGCATGTGTCAGGTTCTGTTTGTATAGTCCCTACCATCTCAAATAATACTGTCATTGGGCAACATGTTTTCTCTTCATATTCTCATATATAAAAGTTAACTGTCCTTTCATTTTTCAAAATTAAGTTTAATGAACTGATTTTTGTCTCTGTTTTTATGTAGAGAGAAAGGTGGATTATAATAGATGATCTGATTTCAGTTTGTATTTCTGGTATCTTTGGGGGTCCATCCTTCTCTCTTCCTAATCTGTGTGGTTTGGGGTGGGCGCTCTTTGTCCCCACATTCAGAGTTGGAACACATGATCCTAGGCCCAAGTAATCTAGTGTATTTGAATCCTCTGCCCTCAGTATTAGTTCAAGGATGAGCATTTGGCTCAAACAGAAATAATGAGACAAACTGGATTAAGTAAAAATTACAGATAACTGTTTGGGGACTTTTTTATAGATACTTGAAACTCAAAGGTCGTAAGTGCGAAGTCCACTCTAAAGTGAAGATTGAATGTGCTATACTAACAATTGGTTTGGTATATTAATAATAATAGTATGTGCTCTCATGTAAGCTGTTGTTATTTGCCAGGCCTATTTTAAAGGTTTAACTTAACTTACTCATTGCAACAACTGTTTGATACAGATACTTTTATAATTCCCACTTTAATAGATGAGGAAATGAGGGTTAGAGAGATTATGTTACTTGTCTCAGTTCATACAGTTAATAATGGTGGTATCAATATTTATATTCAGACTTTATGGCTCAGGGCCCAGGTTCTTTTTTTTTTTTTAATATATCTTTATTGACTTCAAAGAGAGGAAGGGAGAGAGAGGGAGATAGAAACATCAATGATGAGAGAGTCATTGATTGTCTGCCTCCTGCACACCCCTGACTGGGGATTGAGCCCACAACCTGGGCATGTGCCCTGACCGGGAATTGAACCGCGATCTCCTGAATCCTAGGTCGATGCTCAACTGTTGAGCCACACCCGGCCAGGCCCTGGTTCTTAACCATTATGCTACCTTGCCTTTATTTAGAGGCTGGAGATTTTGTTTAAAATCAGTTTTATTAAGATATAATTTGCAGCCAGGCCGGGCGTGGCTCAGTGGTTGAGCGTTGACCTAGGATCCAGGTGATCAGGGTTCGATTCCTGGTCAGGGCACATGCCCGGGTTGTGGGCTGCAGCCGATCAGTGACTCTCTCATCATTGATGTTTCTGTCTCTCTCTCTCCCTCTCCCTTCCTCTCTCTGAAATCAATAAAGATATATTTAAAAAAAAGATATGATTTGCATACTATAGAACATACCATNTCTCCCTTCCTCTCTCTGAAATCAATAAAGATATATTTTAAAAAAAAGATATGATTTGCATACTATAGAACATACCAGTTATAAGTGTATACAGTGTTTTGACAAATGAATACATCTGTGTAACCACTACTCTAATCAAGATATAAAACATTTTCATCACCAGAAGGTTTACTTGCACTCTGTCTTCTAACCTTACCTTTGACACCTGGCAACCAGTGACCTGATCTGTTTTCTGTCACTGTAGTTTTGCCTTTTCTAGGATTTTATTAATGGAATCATTCAGTACATTGTCTTTTGTGTCTGACTTCTTTCATTTGCCATAATATTTGTGAGATTCACATTAAACCATAGTAAATGTATACATAGGTGTGTATGTACTTATGTGCATAAATGTGGTTATTTTTTAACTGATCATGTGGAGTTTTACTCTGGTCGTGTATGAGTAGTATTCAGCAGTGGATTTGAAGAAAGCCCTGTATAGATTTGTAGAATTCTTTGTCCTTATAGCTCCTTCCTCTGGTGTCCTGTCCTGTAAATTCTTTCCCCTTTACCTTTCTGGGCCTGTGAATCTCTCTGTGACAACAGAAAACTGGTCTGTGATGGTGCTCACTTACTTGTTCATCTTCCCTCAAAAATATCAGTACGGTGTTGCTTAGTGTCTGGTGTCTGAAAGCAGTGGTTTCATTTACCCTCCTCCCCAGTTTTCTAAGTGTATGTAGAAAGAATATATGTCTGCTTGCAGTTAAATTTTAACCTCAAGAGAACTGTGAGTTTTGTGTTTCACTTTGTCCATTGGCCCATCCAAGGCTCCTTTCTTGCTTTGTTTTACTTTGTTATATTTCTTTTATTTTGAATTGAACACTTTTTCTTCAACACTTTGGCATCTCTGAAAATTGGATTATGTGTTACAGATGATGAAATTTAAAAAAACTTCTGTGGGTTAACTGGCCATTGGATATAGTAGCCATCGTTTCATGCAGGTGTGTGAATGTAGAAAATGCCTGCCTCAAAACTTGAATATAGGTTTCAGCAGATTGGAAGAAATTCTCTGAGACAATTGTGAATTACTGTTTTATTCCTTATGAACTAAATGTTTGTTATGTGGGAGTGAGGGGTGGAGGAGATTCTGGGATGTGGTGAATTAGACATGCTTAGCAACATTCCTAAAGCTGGAGTCAGATGTAGTTTAGCTGGCTGAATGTAAACCTGGCTTAAGATACCAATACCAATCAATGGCTTTTAGTTCTATTATATATTCTCTTAATAAATGCTACTTCACCAAAGTAATGGAAAATATTGTGTGGGAAAATCTGGATATCAGTGAGTTAGTCATATATTGATTTAGAGAAGTTAGACACTGAAGAATGAGAATTTGCAGGAAAATCCTAATTTTCCTGCAAATCCTAATTATGTGTGTATACGTACATATATGTTTTTCTCGTAAAAGTAATACATGATAAAACTGTTTAAGTCTAAAAGAGCTTTTTAGAGAAGCATAAAATAAAACTCCTAACTGGCAGGAAAATATGATGATAGGTTAATTAGTAGAGTTGCTTCTTATTTAGAAGTATGCAACGGTAAATCGTATTGTTGGTGACATTTTTAGCCCCTAGTGAGTAAGGGACTGCACCCCCCCACACTTCATTTATCCTTGTCTCCTGGCTTTCTGTTCCGTTGTGATTTATGCATGTCTTTGAATGTGTGTATCCCTGCGAAATGCGTATTTTACATGTTTTAAATGTATATAAGTTGTATCATGCCACAGATCTCATTTCATTTCTATTTTCACTTGACAAAACATTTAGCTATGTTCTGTGTACCTTTGGTTCATTCCTCATGACTGTTGCATGATGTTTTATAGTATGTATCCAAGTGTATTTTACTTCTCCATTCTAGTAATTGTGAGCATAAGGCTGCTTCTAATTCCCTGTCACAATAAGTACCTGGCTTGTTACAAGTATTCTCATACACATTCCAGGCAAATGTGGGTGTTTTTCTTGGCTGTACACATACACACACACAGCCACATATATATGCACATAAATGCATATACACCTATGTATATGTTTACATATATATACACATACATATACTCAGGGATAAGTAGATGTACTGTATATATCTGTATTTAAATATAATCTCAAGAATGGGATTACAGGGGTATGTGCCCTGACCGGGAATCAAACCCACCACCTTCTGGTGTATGGGATGACACTCCAGCCAACTGATCCACAGTTGCCAGGTCAGGGAAAATTGTTTGTTTGGTTTTTTTATAATGCTATGCATTTTTTTCTGATAGTGTCCCTTCTGAGATTAATAACTATCATTTGTTGGCCAGAACTACGTCATAGTTGTAGGACTTGGTATTTAACTCATAGTGTCTGGAAGTAGTATACAGTTATGGTTAAGATCATGGACCTAAGTTTGAACATCTCTGTACCTCAATTTTTTCATCTATAAAATGGGTCCAGTAATAAAATAAGTACCTGCCAACACTGTGTTGTTGAAAGGAATAAATGGGTTAATAAATGTCATTGTTTTAATGGATATAGATTGTTCTATTTTAAATATTAGCTATCATTACCATCTTCATTACCTGGAAGAGTTATTGAAATTAGAATTGTAAATTTATCACTCAAGGAATTAGTTTTCTTTGAGATGGGAAATAAAAGAGCAATTGAATTAGTAGGTCTAGGTAGTTGTTTTTGAATGTGGATGATCAAAGAAGATGATAGAGCTTTCTTAAGGACTCTTGTGATTGTATTGCACCGTTCACAATTATGGGTGAGTTCAAGTATTGAATTAATATACTTACTTAATTCACTATAGAGCTTGATGACCCTTAGGGCCATCTTGAACAAATTGTCATTTTACCTGCAATCCCCTGAAGTTTATTCAGCTCAATAGACATTTCATCTCTTATTGATAGGATGTTTGGAGACTTAGCTGTGTATGGAAGTAGGATTTTGTTGTATTGTTGCTCGCCTTTTCCAATTTGAAATCACTCTACTTTAAAAAAAAATGTCAATTATTTTTCTGTTTTCTTTTTAGCCCTATCTGCTTTGATATGATCGAGGAAGCATACATGACGAAATGTGGCCACAGCTTTTGGTAAGATGATTTTATTTAGCAAATTGTCTTTTGGCAGTCTTAAACTTGTGTGTAAATATAGTCAGTGAGAGGTTATTTTTTTAAAACTAATTTTGGTTATCTTGTAATCATATTATTTCTTTGGCTGATCTTTACAGGTTCTTTGGCTCAAGGCAATAAGCATATGGTTGGTGCATTGTATCTGTGAAATACTTAGATTTACCATAGGCCTTACAGGTGGATTTTAAAACATTTGGGTTTATTAATTGTTAAAGAGCTATCTTAGAAAATTGGGGTGGTGGTGCTGGGTAATCAGGATGAAGCACCTATACATCACTTGGGATAGGTATGAGGCCCAGTAAAGCAGGCTAGAAGGACATTGGGAAAGATATAGAGGATTAAAAAGTTCTGTGTTCTCTTCTTTAATACTTTTCTCAGTGTCATTAATATGTATATATTTAAAAAATTTTAGTTGTGGTAAAATACATATAATAAAAGTTACCATCTTAACCATTTTTAAGTTGAGTAACGTTAAGAACATGCACATTGTTGCTCAGTCAATCTCTAGACCTTTTTCTTGAAAAACAGGAACTGTATACCCATTAAACAACTCCTTATTTTTTCTTTCCCCAGCCTCTGTCAGTTGCCATTTAACTTTCTGTTTCTGTAAATTTGACTATTCTAAACCTCATATAGCTGGAATCAAATAGTATTTGTCCTTTTTGTGACTGCTTATTTTACTTAGAATAATGTCCTCAAGTTTCATCCATATTGTAGCATGTGTCAAAATTTCCTTTTTAAGGCTGAATAATAATATTCCATTGCATGTATATATTTTGTTTGTCTATTCATCTGTCAGTGGACACTTGGGTTGCTTCTACCTCTTAACCATTGTTAATAATGCTGCTTTGAACATTGATGTATAAATATCTCCTTTCTNAACCATTGTTAATAATGCTGCTTTGAACATTGATGTATAAATATCTCCTTGAGACCCTGCTTTCCGTTCCTTTGGTTATATATTCAGAATTGGAATTGCTGGATCGTAGGTAATACTATGATTAATTTTTTTTGAGGATCAGCCACACCGTTTTCTATAGCTGCTGTACCATTTTACATCTCCACTAACAGTGCACAAGAGTTCCACTTTTTCCACATCCTTACCAACACTTGTTATTTTCTGCCTTTTAAAAAAAATAGTAGCAATCCAAATCGGTATGTAATCTGTGAATGTGTAATTTGTTTATTTTTTGTTTTGGGGTGGTGTATTCTGCTTGCAATCAATCATCTCCATAAATTATTTACACTATTGGTATATTACTTTAGCCTTAGTATTTTTGTTGTGTTCTAATTGTCATTATATTCTACTTCATGTTGGAGTTAGAGCCATAATTTTATACTGGAGTTGAATATGGTTTCTGTTAGGTTATTAATACATTAGTCAAGAATCTGGAGTCTGAGGCTTCACTGATAGGTATGTCCAATCTGCCAGTCATTTAAAAAGTAGTTTAGAATAAAAATCGCTTTCTTAGCTAACATTATTATGTTTCATGAATCACTTTCTGCTCTATGCTGCTATTGAAATTCTGGTCATGTGGATCTTGCTTCCAGGCTGAGACATGTATGGTCTTGGTCTTCTCAGGTAGATGATTTAGCAGGAGTGTTCTCTTTGGCCCATGAATTGATTCAGCACCTTAGCATTCCATAGGAAACCATGTACTTCTCTTAGAGACTTTGGATTTTGATCATTCTAGAACATTTAGATAGAACAGGTGATTTATATAGAACAGGCTTTCTCAGCTTTGGTAGTATCGACATGCTAAACCAGATAATTCTTTGTTCTGGGTGACTACCATGGGTATTGTAGATTGTTTAGTAGTGTCCCTGGCCTCTAACCAATAGCAACCCCTGTCCCCTCATTCATGACAACCAAAAATGTCTCCAGACATTGCCTGATATCCCTTAGGGGACAAAATTGCCCTCAGTTGAGAACTATTGAGATAGAGCTAAAAGAGCAAGCTCTTGAAGTTTGCAGACCAGGGTTCTAGCTCTGGCTTTAAAGCTTATCTTACCTTTGTCAAGTCACTCAACCTCTCTCTTCTGCTGCTGCTCACTACCCCTCCCCCATCCTCTTCCTCCTTCTTCACCTCTTCTTTCACAGATTTGAAGGTGTTGGAGTGTGAAACAGACTGTTAAGTGAGGCTTTAATTTTTCCTGACTGCCCTCTAACTTCTGTGTTCACTTTGGCATTTAAAAAATGTGTGGAAGAGTCTGCTGAATCAGTTCAGTAATCTTGCTTGATTATGTGGTGAAGTGTTATCAATTACTGATTGGCTTTATAACTAGACAGGGCTGGCCTCTTCAGTGAGTCCTATAATCTTCATGGTGTGTCTGTGTCATTGGAAAGCTTCAGTGTGGGGGTTTTTTTCAATTACAGATTGCATTCAATATTATTATATATTAGTTTCAGGTGTATTGCATAGTGATTAGACATGTAATTTACAAAGCGATCCCCTCCATAAGTCTAGTCTTTGGTTTCTTAAGTATCTGTTTTCCCCCTTCAAATAAAAATAGTTTAAACTTACTCCTTGTTACAATTCAAGTTATGTTACACCCTGATGTGAATGTGTTTTAAAGTATCTATTAAAGAGCAGCTTTTGGTTGGATAGAGACTACAGCTTTGCAGGAGCTAATAAACCTGGAGGTCCTCATTCCCATTGTCAGGCTTGCTACGCTGTGAAACACTTCTGCACTTTGTTTAAAGCAAAAGCTCATAATTATTTACCCTATCCTAACATGTGAGACCTTTGAAACGTCAATTAACAGTAGCATGTTGTATCAACTCTTTGCTAATTTGAACCCTGGCTGGTAATCTGGAGCAAGAAGTGTACCACTTCAAGTCTCCATCCAAATTATTAGCATTAAATTGAATTAGACTACATTAACTGTTTATCCCTTGTCCTGCTTATAAATGATGGTAACTCTTTGCTACTAATAGGTTGGAGACAATGTAACAGGAACTTCTTTCACTTTATTCATTCCCACTTGACAGTGAACCTGCGATTAGCTGTAGCATAACTGAAATTCAATAATAAAAATTCTGGCTTCTGTATGATACAGAAATAAGGATTGCTCTCTCTCTTTGTCCCTTTACTGCCTCTAGCTTGTCCACTGCACCTTACTTCTCAGACCTCATGTCTATCAAGTCCTCATTTACTATTTTGCTTCATTAAAAATAAGTTGTAATTCACAGATTCCCTCAGTGTTGTCATCTTCCAACATATTCTCTCAAACCTGGGTGCCAGCTTGCCTTTGGGGACTTTTGACTAATTCATCATCTTGCACCTTGCTATTAGTCTTTCTTTATTCCTGGTCACTATATATGACCACTGTTTCTGATTTGTCTTTGCTATTCTTGTTATAGTCCCTTCTAGAATTTTATGATTAGCCGCAATTTTCTATTTTTATTCATCTCTCTTTACACGGACAGAAAAAAAAATCATATTTTGCAAATAGACATATACTTGATAGAAGAAACGGCAGCCATATGTAGCTATAGAGAAATATTCATTTTCTATTATCAGATATATACTTAACAGAGGACACAGGCATCCTTTTATATCAGCACATTGTAGTACTGAATAGGTTTTTTTGAGAGTTGCAGTGTAGCTCAGTTGGGCATCACCCCATGCACCAAAAGGTTGGATTCCCTTTCAAGGCACATGCCTGGGTTGCAGGTTTGATCCCTGGTAGGAGGCGTTCAGGAGGCAGCTGATTGATGTTCATTTCTCACATTACTCTTTCTCTCCCTCTCCCTCCCCCTTTCTCTAAAAATCAATAAAAAAATATATATTTTAAAGGTTGTAGTGTGAGTAGCTATTGAAAATTGCTCAGGTTTGGTTGAATAATATTTTAAAAGTTTTTTATTATAAGAAAATACACAATTGTAAAAAGCCTAACATTACAGAAATTTATAAGGTAAGAAAGAAAAAATGTTTTGTAATAACATTTCTTCAGGTATAACTATTATTAGTAATTTTTCATGGCCATACTTACATATTATAATGTGTTTTTTATTGGCTATATACAGTACATTGGATTGATATTTACAAATTTGTTTAGTCAATTTCCTAGTATTTTGATTGCTTCTAATTCATTTTGTTATTTACAGATAACTTTGAGTTGAACACATGTCTACATATGTATTTCTGCTTATTTCCTTAGGATAAATTCCTAGAAGTAAAATCGCTACATCAAAGGGGATGTACATACAGCCTTAAGTTTTTTCATGTAATTTGCCTTCTAAAAAGTGGCAGTTACATTTCCTGCAACAGTACATGAGATTGTTCATATCCACATGTACTCCGTAACTTTGACACTGTTTTCTTTATTTTTCCATTTTAATTGGTAGAAACTAGAATATAATTTTAAATCAGTTTTTCATCCTAGTGAAGGTGATGGTTTACTCATGCTTATTGACTGATTTCTATCATGTTGATTTTTCTGTTTTTCCCTTCTTTTCTTTTTTTTTTTATTTGAACGAGCTCTTTTTGTATTTAAGGATATTAACACTCCAGGAACACAGATAGTCTGCTTAATTAAATCACAGGCAGTTGCTTTTCATGGTGTTGTAATATACTATTTAAATTGCATAAACTTAAAAGTTAGTACGTCTTATTAAATTTTATATTTAGTAGATTTGCTGCTTTTCAATAACTTGTATACTGTTGTCTAATAAATACCCTGTGTATCTTCTTTAAGATGTAAAAATATAGGCTGAAATAAATTGGATAACCTTTTGATTACTTATGTTGAAAATGAGGAATAGAAAACTAATAGGCATTATTATGTGACCAGTTTATTAATCTATCACTGACTTAATCAAACCTATTTTATTTTTTCTCTGCTGATAGCTACAAATGTATTCATCAGAGTTTGGAGGATAATAATAGATGTCCCAAGTGTAACTATGTTGTGGATAATATTGACCATCTGTATCCTAATTTCTTAGGTGAGTCTTTGGAATGATTTTTTATATTTTAAATATTCTTTCTCCCAAAGTGTATGCTAGCACTAATTTATTCAGAAAACATAGCTTAGAGTAAGCGAGTCTCTCTTTCCTACTCACCAGCTGCTTTCCCCAGTCTTATCTGGGTTGTGACAGATTCCACACCATATCATATTATTTTTAAGTTTCTTTAAAAAATTTGATTCACACAACTCTTAGATTCTTAGATAGATGGCTGGACATAATGTGAGGCTAAAGGAGAATGCAAGATGTTTAGAATACTTGTCTCTATATAGTGTTGTGCATTCCTGCTGTTTCTGCTTCAGGGGTAGAAGTGAGAAACAATGGAAGAAAGGGTTAGTGTAGAGGGGGAAAGGCAACAAACACCCTTTTGGGTATGAGAGTCTGTGACCCCGGAGGCAATAGAAAAGTAAGAACTGGGGAGGGAAGACATGGATGTAGAACTTTTAAGAGGGGGATGGTAGCTGGGGAAGAGAGACGATATAGGGAACCCTTAGAATAAATGATAAATGGTTGATAATCATCTAGTCAGAGACAGATTGTGATTATCTAAAAATTCTACATGTTCAAAAGCCTAAAATATTGTAGGAAACCTTTAGATTGGGTTTTTAGGAATGAAGATTATTTTTCAGATCTGCCAGGCATGAAGTAGGTTGTTACTGGGTATATTTGTCAAAAAGGCGAATTCTTCATTATAAACGGTTACATTCTCAGAGTTAGGGTGTGAGATTTACTTGTATATTAGATTCTGACCTGCCGTTGCTTCACTTGCAGTTTGACTTTCTCAGCTCAAATGCTAGTTTATAATCAACCATGAATTTGAACCTTTTTAGCTGTGGCTTTTGTTTCTACCTCTGCTCTAAACTTGCATTGGCCATGATCCTTACTATTTTCTCTTTTCATTACAATTCAGTATTTTTTCATTAAGGCAAATCACTGGATGATTGCACAGCAGAAAGGAACCTTGGAGGAAATAATGTGAAGATTTTCTGTTGGAATAACAAGTTCTTCTACATAGATAAAGTTTTATGATAAACTTGTAGCAGGAGTGTAGGAAATGAGGAAACACTGAGTGGTTTGATACTCTGCAGGACTGAACTTCATGGGCCAGGTTAGATAAAAGGGAGAGCAACGAACCCTTTGTTCCTCAACTCAGATTGGTGCTGCTGTGAGCTCTAGAATCACTTTTCTGTCAGTTGCATAGCTTTGGAAAACAATTTCTTTCGGAACAGTTAAGTATAGAAAGGAATCTAAAGTTCTAAAAATTTTGATATTTACTAAATTTTTCAAGCACCATATTCCTTAATGAGTCCACAAGTTAGAAATTCTGTTATGTGAGTTTCTAAATGGAGAGAGAGAGAGGTACTACACTATACACTAGCATGGAAGGAATATAAATAAGTTTATACTATATATGTGTGTGTTTATATGTATTCACTAGTGAACAGTGAAATCACAATTACTGATTTTTCTAAGCTAGAAATTATCTTGGTGATGCTATAATTTTTAACCTCTTTTTATGGATAAAAAATTTTGGTTTTGGGTAATTGCAGGGTAAGTATTTTTAAAATCTTTTAATCATAGTGCAGCTTCCAACAATATTTTATATGTCAACTGTGGAACATTTCATCCTGATACATCTATTTGTTTTTCTGCCCATCTTCATTCTTTACCTTTGTATAGTGAGGGTGAAATCCTTAGGTTTCCTCACAGTAGGTAAATCAAGATTATATTTCTTGTGCACTCAGGATACCACTGAGATCTGTTTCTAAAATGGAATACCACTTGGGTTTTTTTCTATACTGTAAAGCTCTTCTAAGTTATTTACTTCCATTGCTTCATCTTGAGGTTATATGATTTGTTTGATGCTTGTACTTTTGGGTTGGGGTAAGAAGACCCTGAACCTTTTAAAGTAATTTTAGATTCCTTCCTGAGCATGGTAAAATAACTATATGTTATATGATTCTGAAATATTCTGAGTAGCCTTGCACCATTTTTTTGATTGATTTTGGACCCTTCACTTTTAATGCTATACACCTGAGTCATGGGTAGAGGGCTGGACTACACATTTTCCATAGCAGTAGTCTTCAAACCTTTTTGCTTGGATGACCCATATAAAAATTCTGAAAAATTATGTACTTCCTCACACATTGATGCCAGGTTTTAAATAGCATCCACAATTTTTCATTATAAGTTTAAGTGGATGTAAAGTAATGTAATTTTAGGAGTACTGTAAATAGTTATCTATAAATACAACTCTCATTTCTTTTTCAGATGTATTCTGTGAAATCTGAATATCATAGTGATGTAATACTTATTGATTTGAAAATAGACACTTTAATTATCAATGTGAAATTTATTCATTCCTTTTCTGTTTGAATTAAGCAGAATTCTATCTAAATTGCATATTGCCCACATAATTATATCGTTTATATTAATGTATTTTCATGCTTGAAATTCATATTGATCTACCTGTAATACTTTTCTGTAACAGAAATGTATGTAAATAAAAAATTATAGATTTAGAAGTTTCTTTTGAACGTAATTTGCTATTAAGTATTAAACTTAAATATTTTGGGGTGTTATTGTAATTAGTAGTATGCAATTGATCAAACAAATACTTACAAATTTTATAAAGTATTAAACAATAAAAATTTATTGTAAATATGCTACTTAATGTTTGACGGTGCCCTTCTCAGTTAGTGCCAGTGCCATTGCTGGTTATTACTAGGACGAGGCTTCAGTTTCATATGTGTTCTTTTTATTATTTATTTATTCAGGATCATTACAGTGTTTTAAATTGACATATAATATTGTGTAAGTTTAAGAGTTTTCTCCTTTTTATTTTTAAAAGTGTAAGTCTTGAGAAACTTTGCTTTAGGTTGATGGGGATTGAATGAATTTTGTTACTGTGATTTCACTCATTTCTTTAACCACCTTCTGAATTATGTGCTGAAACAACAGCACTTACTGATTTATTGTCAGAGAATTTGTTAATGCCCTATTAGTTAACAGGTTAAGTCCTTCCTTCTGTTTTAATGAAAGCAAAGAATTGGAAGCCAGACACAAAAAGAATTTGGTTTTCTGTTCATTAGAGTCATATACTTTTTGTCAAGACATATTTTTTCCTTTCCTGCCATAACTACTACACTGCAGTTCCTCCTTCTATGACTCCTCCCCCCTTCGTCTACCTTCCACAGCATTCTCCCTCCCTCCTACTTCTTCCCTCCAACTCCCTCCCACCTCCTCAGCGGCACACTCTCTCTTCTCCTTTCCACCCTTCTGGGTCTTAAGAGCTTTCAGAGCTCTCTCCTGACCTTGCGGCTCATGCGGGGTGAGGGCTTGGGTGGCAGTGCCTCCTCCACCCTCCCTCTCCTGCAGTTCTGTGGTTGCTCTCCTCCACTTTGCCAAGGCCTGCCCTCTAGTCTCCCCATTCCTTCGTGGTACAAGATCACTTCAGCTGCCTCTTCCTTTCTCTCTCTCTCTCTTTCCCTCTCTCCCCCTCTCTCTCTCCTTGCTTCCCCTGTATATAAAATTTGTAAATTAATTTTAAAATCTTCCTAATGAATGAACCTCTTTTTAAAGTAAAGGCCAATGTGGATGCAAAGTTTAAAATCTCTATTTTTTTTTTTTTTAAAGTAGCTAATGCGTGTAACATCCTTACTATTGCCAGGCACTGTCCTAAGTGCTTTATGTGTGTTAACTCATTTAATTCTCAGTTCTATAAGGTAGGCACTGTTGTCATCTTCATTCCTCAGGTGAGGAAAGTAAGGCAGAATTTAACTATGTAAAAGTTTCACAGCTAGTAAGTGGCAGAATTGGGATTTGGTCCTAAGCAGTGTGGCTCAAGAGTCTGTGCTTTTACTACACTATCCTGCATCTAAAAAGAGTTGCTAAAATGGAAAATTTAAAAAAGAAATGCATTGTTTGTGCTTAGTACTATGGCTGTTATAAGAATCCAAAGAATTATAATTATGAATATAGACTGTCCTTCAGTTTCAGTGGTATAGGAGATATCTTGGTAACATGCAATGTAGTATATACATGTAAAGTATTAAAATTATTTAAGTCATATTTTTATTTAAATGATTAATTCTGTAACTGAAACATTAAGCTCTTATTTACATATCCTGTTTATTCCCAGTACTACATTATTTCAAGCTTTCTCTTTTATCTTCTCTGGATTATGATGATAACTTTACTTGTGAGATACATACCAGGCTCTTCAGAATCAGGCTTCAGTCTATATTTCCAGTCTTAGTTCTTAGCTCCTGTTAATCATTAACAGAATCACTGTGACCCTGTGTTCAGCCATATTGATTTTAAATCATTTTATCTCCTGCTGTTTTATGACTTTGCCCCTTGCCGCCTCCTCCCCCATCTGAATTCTTTTCCAAGCTTTTTTCTGTTTAGCTAAACTCTGTTCCTGTTTTGGCCCAATTCTAGTGCCTCCTTTTTTTGGAAGCCTGTTTCTTCAATTTTGATTGCTCCTCTTCTGTGTTCTTTGTAAATCTTTCAACGATAGCACTGATTTTCACATTATATTACGACTACTGCATCATATATATTTATCTTCCTACTCTGAGCTGCTTGAGTCTTCGATTGAGGTTAGATTTAGTCTTACTTATGTTTGAAGATTGGATCTCTAGTATGGGCTTGATACCTTCCTTGTTTGTTAAAAATTATTTACAGTTGGATTGTGGTGTAGTGGAAATTATTAGATAGTTGTGTTTGTATCCCCAACTGTCATGTGCTATATGTACACGTCACCTTGGTAAAGGTCCTCTCTAATATTCATTCCCTCATCTCTAAATGGGAAAAACAACCAATGGGATAATGTCTGTAAAATTAAAGTGCCTACCTAGCCTGGTGCTAGTTTCCTTTATCATTTTTTTAATCTGCTGGCTGATAAAGACAGAACAGTTCAATTAAAAGTGGCTTAAACATTAAAGAAAATGTATTGAGTACCATAAAAAGAATTTCTAGAGCTAGTTAATTCTGTGGTTCTGTAACATTATCAAGTTCTTTCCATCTTTCTGTTCCTCCGTACTCAGCATATGTGTTGGTCTTTGGCTAGATCCCTTCGAGACTGCAAGATGGCTCTAAGCAGTTTCAGGCATCATCTGTTTATGAGGGCGAGGAAAGAGCTCATTTTTCTCCTCTCCTTGTTCTGAAAGACAGCATACCCCTCACTGGTCAAAACTAGGTCACATACTTAACCCTGTGTCAGTCACTGACTAGAGTATAAATGACTAGATTTATTTATCTTAGTTAAGAATCATACCATGGATGTGGGGAGGGGTCTAGCCTCTGCAAGTATGTGGTAATCTGACACTTGGGAAAAATCATGCTGTTATTTAAATAAAAGGTGGGATGGTTTTTGGATAGATAACTGACATTGTCTGCCATGATATTTATAAAATAGTCAAACAAACCAAAAGAAAAAAATATAAATCTTTAGTGCTACCTCATAGAATCAGCCAGTTACCATGGAGAGCATGATACAGTCTCACACAGTGAAGAATTGTCTCTCCAAGTGCCAGTAGTGTCACCATTGAAATGTGTAAGAGTGCGTACATATTCTGAAGAAGCCTCCGTAGTAACAGTAGTGGTAACAAGACCAATAGTTTTACCAAGAGGAGCCTGTGACAAAACTGTTTCTAATTTGAAATTTCCGCTTGCATCTTTTTAATTTGGGGCTTTTTAAAGTTAAAATACAGTTTATCTAAACAGAACAATTAGATATCTTTAACAAAATGTAAATTAAATGTGTTTCTTGTTTTTATTTTCAGTGAATGAGCTCATTCTCAAACAGAAGCAAAGGTTTGAGGAAAAGAGGTTCAAATTGGACCACTCAGTGAGTAGCACCGTATGTTTCAACTCTTTTTACTATTTTTAATAAATTTTAACTCATTGTTTTTATTGGTTTAATATTATTCAAATTTAGTATATTGTTGATTTTTCTTAAAGAGATTTGTTTAAGATTGTTTTGTTCAATAAAGAACTTTAAGTGCATTGTTTAAAATTTACTCTAGTGATCATCTTTTGAAAGGTCTGGTGGGATCACACTGACACCGTTGACTTGTAGTACATGACAGTTGAAGGGTAATATGGCAGGGTGAAACTATGTGGTAATTTGGGAAAACTTTTGAAAGATTCTCAATTTAAGAGGATTAGTCCCAAATTATTGAGGCAAGTGAGCCAAAATTAATACCTTACAACCAAATACAAAGTTGAAAATATGGTTAGAAAAATAATTAAAATCCAGGCACTTATTTTGAAGGAATTATATATACCTGTAGAGATGCTGACTTAACAGTTTTCTTGATATCCCTTTCATATCTGTTATCGAAATTTATTTAAGGGGAAAATAGTGTTTAAATGATAATAAGAAGGCAGTGGGAAGCTACCAGCTGAGAAAGAGTAGGTTGGAATATTACAGTATATTTTTGATATCTGTATAATAAACATATTAGGAAGTAGGAGTTAAACATTTGTTTTAGACTCTCTAAAACAATCTTTTTAGAAAGGTATTGTGTTTCTTTTCTTCATTTTTAGAATGGCCACAGGTGGCAAATCTTTCAGGATTTACTGGGAACTGACCAAGATAACCTTGATTTGGCCAATGTCAACCTCATGTTGGAATTACTAGTGCAGAAGAAGAAACAACTGGAAGCAGTAAGTGGCAGCTGAACTTGAAAAAAACAAAAACTTGATTTAAATGGTACTCTTTATTGCACTGTAAAAGATCTAGAAATGTTTATAAATAATAGGGTAGTGTCACTTAATCCATCCAGTTTTATTCAGCAAGAAACATCTTCAAGGTGTCACTTCTAATGCAACCCCCTTTTTCAAGTAAAAGAAAGAACAAATTGCTTGTAATATAACTTAGAGTGGCCAGTTTGTATTAACAAAAGCTGAGTATTAAGAAAGATTATGAGAAAGTACAATTTCATTTTAATAAGGAACAATCCTATCGGTCATTTTTCTTCTAATATCTTCTTTGCCGTATTGTCCCCTCTTTACGTACAAGATTTGAAGGAGAAAATAGAGATTATTTTTATCTACATAAAATCCTCTCAGCAGGTGTCCATTGGCAGAGCAATAGTCTATTGCTTAACTAAGGGCATTTAGAAAGGTGGGAACTGGAACTGAATATATCCAGTTTCATATAATGTAAATAATGTGAATTTACATGTATTAGGAATTGAATCTGATGCATCATAAGTGACACATATCTTAAGCAAATACCCACCCTGACCAAGCTTAAATAAGAAGGGGGTATTTATAGATAGGATAAAGGAGTGAGTAGCTCACATACATAAAAAGAAAGAGCTTAACAGCCAGATGTTGGAAAGATTGGAACCATGGCTTTTCTGGAAACTGTAGGGAAATGAGATTAGGCGCTTGAATGTTGAGAGTTTGTCTTTTGGGCTTCTCATGTGTGTGTGTGTGTGTGTGTGACAGGTATGTTGGTTTTTTTGAAGTGTGGCTTAATCTTTTATTTATTTTAGCTTTATTGAGATATAATTGACATATAGCACTGTATAATTTTAGCGTTTTTTTCCCTCTTGTGATGAGAACTTTAGAAATTTACTTTTAGCAACTTTCAAGTATAGGAGTGTTAACTATAGTCATCGTATTGTACATTATTGCATCCTCAGAACTTAACTTATAACTGGAAGTTTCTACCTTTGGTCACCTTTATCCATTTCCCCTTCCCCCTGATTTTGGTGACCACAAATCTGATCTCTTTTTCTATGGGGTTCTTGTGGGGTTTTTTAAGATTCCACAAGTAAGTGAGATCATACAGTATTTGTCTTTCTCTGACTTATTTTACTTAACATAGTGTTCTCAAGGTCCATCCATGTTGTTGCAAATGACAAGATTCTCTTCTTTTTATGGCTGAGTACAGTAGTATTTTGTGTGTGTGTGTGTGTGTGTGTGTGTGTGTAGGTTGCCTTCATTTTGTTAATCATTTCTTTTGTTGTGTAGAAGTTTTTTAGTTTCATGTAGTCCCACTTACTTGTTTTTGATTTTGTTGCTTAGGCCTTAGGTGTCATATTTTGAAAATTGTTGCCAAGACTTTCGAATGGTTTTAAACAGTTTTCTGTTAGCATCTACCATGTGCTAAGAGTTGTGTTAAGGGCTGTGGAAGAGACACGGTTCTACTCTTGGGGGTGGTGCAGGGTGAGGATAGAAACTAAATTAAGTAAATATGTTCACATAGTGATAATTGATATAAAGAGACTTCTCTATAGATTGAGCATATGCAGCTACCATGCTCCCTTAATAGTATGAAAATGAGATGTAAAGGGATTTTTAAAAGACAAAAGAATGGGTGAAGAGACGATGGTAGCAGTGTTTTGGAAGCTCTAAAGCAAATGGACGAAAAGTAATTGATGAGGAGACCTGAGAAACTTGACTCTACTAGGCCAGCAGTGGGGAAATAGCCAAGAACCAACCCTATGTATACTGTGGAACAAAAGCCTTGGAATTGGGAGCACTAGGGACCTCATATAGTATTAGTTGAGGGTCTGACTAAGAAGCAGTTGGAATCTCTCGTCCCTTCCTGTACAACTCACAGCACGTGATTCTCCCTTCTCTACCTTAGGATAGTACTAGAATTTTTTTACCCTGGTGGTGGGAAAAGAGAGGCTCTCGGGACTACTGCCTACTGCGCAATAGGCGTACTTAAAGGGGTGAGGTTCCATACTGAAGACAGACAAGTGTACGTGTTGGATGTGAGAACTATTAACCTTCCCACCTTTTGATGTGCCAACATTAATCTTTGCTTGTTTTTGGCTTTTCATCTTGGAATAGAAGAAATACAGGTATCTTAGTTTTAGGCCACAGATCCTTTTCTAATATTTCTTAAAGAGGGAGCCATCTCAGAAGCTAAGTTCTTAGATTAGGCTCTATAGCTTTTTTACATTATTGTTTTCCTAATTTACTTTGCATTATCATTTAACTTGAATATTTTCAACATGTAGAAAAGTACAGAAAATAATGAGTCTCTTGACATACCTTGTTTCAGTTTCACTAATTATTAACACTTTGCCAAATATGTCTTAGATCTGCCTTTTGAGAATTAAATATTTTTTTATACTTAAGCCCTCTCATCTCTCATCTTACTTCATTCCCCCAGATGAAACTGGCAAGTATTTTTCTCAAGCACGTATATGCTTTTCTTACATGTATTTGTATCTACAGTTATATAAAGTACTGTTTGTATAATTTAGACGTTTATATGAAGAGCTTCATGCTGTAGTTATCCTTTTGACATATTCTTTGTTTGCTTTTGAGGTTCACGTCGATACGCATAGATCTAGTTTATTTTAACTTCTTATAGGAATCCATTGCAAGAACATATCTCTTCCCCTGTACGTAGATGTTTAAGTTCTCCCCAATTCTTGGATATGAATGACAATACTGCATTTAATATTGTTATACGTGTCTCCTTGTGTCATACATGTACAGAGTGTCCTGAAAAAGTGTATACACACTTTGAATAACTTAACATCAGTTGGGCTATCAGCTGCTAAATGTGTACACATTTTGGGGGGATACACTGTATATTCCACTTAGTGAGTTAAGAAGTGGAATTGCTGTAGGGTTTGCATGCACATTTTAACTTACTAAATATTACTAAATATTGCCAAATTACTCTTCTTTGAGTTTGTACCATATTAACACTTGCTATTTTCTCTTTTTTAGTTTCTGCCTAACTGATAGTTGTCAGATGCTTGTGTGTGTGCATGTGTGTGTGTATTTTGGATATTGCTACTTTGCCAAAAATATATTTAGGTAATCAAATTCTAGTTGAATTGCACTGTGGCCAGGTAACATGATTTTAAAAGTCGTATATTTACTCATATATTTTCCACTTCTGGTGCACTTCATTCTTTTATTTTCATTCATTCTTTTGAATTCCATCTGTAATTTTCCTTCTGCCTGAAGGACAACATTTATCATTTCTTTAATGCAGATCTGGTGATGAATTTTTTAGCTTCTTTGTCTGAGCAAGCCTTTATTTTGCCTTTGTGTTTGAGAAAGGTACTTCCAAATAAGTATAGAATTCTAGATTATTTTAGATCTAGAATTTTAATTTCAGTATTTTAAAGATGTTTCTCCATTTTCTTCTGTCTTACATTGCTTCAGATGAGAAGTCTGCTGCCATTCTTATTGCTGGTACTCAGGCTAGAATATATTTCTCCAAGTGTAAGATGCTCTCATTATGGTTTTAAGCATTTTGATTTTGATATGCCTTAGTATAGTTCTTCACTCTCACCTCCACCCCCATTCCCCATGTTTCTTGTTCCTGAGGTTCTTTGAGAATCTTGGATCTGTGGGTTTATAGTTTCTATGAGATTTGGAAAATTTTCAGTCCTTAGTTTTTCAGATATTTTCCTGTCCCCTCTTCCACTTTGAGAACTTCAATTACACAACTATTAGGCTAGTTGAAGTTACTCCATAGTCCATTGATAAACAGCTCTGTTCATTTATGTTTTATCTTTTAACTTTAGTTCATTTTGGATAGTTTCTATTTTTGTTGTCAAATTCACTCATCATTTCTATCTTCCATGTGCCTCTGTAACATGCTTATGCTTTCCTCTAACTTCTAGAACATAGGTAGTTATAATAATTCTTTTAATGTTTTTAATAATTCTGTTATTTGTGTCATTTCTATATACCCCTTTTTATTGCTGACTTTCCCCCTTATTATGGATGTACTTTCCTTCTTATTTGTATGATTATTAATTTTTTGATTGTATGCCAGAAATTGTCAATTTTACCTTGTTTAATGCTGGGTATTTTTGCATTCCTTTATGCATTCCTAAACTTTGTTCTGGCATGTAATTAGGTTACTTGGGAAAAGTTTGATTCTCTTGGAGCTTGTTTTTAAGGTTTGTTAGGTTGGACCAGAGCAGATATTTGTCTAGGCTAACTTGCTCTCCTACTTGAGGTAACCTTTTTGAGTATTCTACCTAATGCCTGTGTATTTCAAGGTTTTTCCACTCTGGCTCCTGGGAAAATGTAATATTTCTGATTCTTTGTCTGAAAACCATTGTTTCATATCTGGCTTTCTGTTTTGTTGTTTAAGGAGGAGTGTAAATTCTGTATTTCTCACCGCATTTTAGCCAGATGTAAAAGTTCAATTTGTATGCTTTTGGCCCGTTGAAATTTATTGTGATTTTCATTGTATGATGTATGGTCTATTTTGTTAAATGATCACTTGCATTTGAAAACAGCATGCTCTTTGTTGTAATGCTTTTATAAATGTTGTTATGTAGTTTGTTAATATTATTCAAATCTTGTATTCCTCCTGGCTCTATCAGTTACTGATAGGGATATGTTAAAAATATAATTTCAGTTGTCTAGTTTTCATTGTTTTCTGTGATTTTTGCTTCATTTGTTTGGAAGCTCTTTATTAGGTGCATCCATGTCTAGGATTGTTACATCTTCTGGATGAATCATTCCCTTTATTCTGAATTGTATGTGGTTACCTCTTGAGGTGTCCCTTGTCTGAAGCTGGTGTATCAGTTATAATACCAGAAGTGCATATCCTTTAGACTGTTTTCACAGTAGATTTAAGGAAAAGAATGTATTGATACAGAGAAAACTACCACCTAAGTCATAGTAACAATTACATAAGATATACGGCAAAGTGACTCTCATTTGTGAAATGTTACCTCCTTATTTTATAGATAGGGACTTAAAGCCAAGTAGGGGAGGCACTCATAAAGTTTTACAAGGTTTTTAAGTTAGAATCCTAAAACTTTGGCTTTCTGTTATAATGTAAAGTCAAGTCTTGTCTTCTCTTCTCTCTACTCCATCTCCTCCCCTTCTTACTTTTCTTTCCTCTTTCTTTCCCTTAAAATCCAAGTAATAAATAGCACTCCTAATTTACAAAGTCAAATGACATTACAAGGTCAAAGGAAAACTGGCTTGTTTTGTTTTTTTTACCATAAAGCTGGGGGGTCTCGCTCCCCTTTCTACAAATCACGAGCATTATTAACCTGTTTATGTCTTAGTTGGTAGATATGAAGTATTCAAACTTACTATTTTGAGGATAGTTTGTACATTTCCTTTGCAAATGAAGTGTGTTATTTATTAGCAGTCTTGGTTGTGCATGTTCTTTTTTGTATAAAGATGTGATCTTGGCTCTAGCCATTAATCATCTGTAGACAGTTATAAATAATCAGTGTGAAGAGTCCCAAGAAAGGTGCAGAGGATCCGAGGATACATTGTCATATTGTTGGGACACAGAGCCCTTGTGAGTTTGTTCTTTGGGATAGTTTACTTCGCAGGAATGTGTCTCAGGTTCAATAAATGCCAGTTTGTTATGCAAGAAAAAAACCTCACTTTTAAATCTCTCATCACACCATGCTTTACAAATGTATTTATTTAATTGTTTATTTTGATTTTGAGAGTATGTTTATTAAAGCTGGGGACGGTGAAACAAGGAAGGGCTTAAGATAGAAGGAGCAACAGGAGAGACTAGGCAGGGCTGCTTTGGCTCTCTAGAGACGTGGGAAAGAGGCGAGCCAAGGTGGGGCTGCAGTCAGCTCACTGGAGAGTCAGAGAAAACGGGGCCTTGGGGACGGGTTCAGGGGGTTAGCCTAGGACTAGCTGCCTCTGCCCATTGCTTCCCTGTTTGGAAGTCTCCTTAGGTCCCTTAGAGTTTAGGAGATACAGGCCTTTGAGGGAAGAAGAGGGGGAAGGGAAAGGTGCAGGCTTGCTCCCAGGAGGGAGAGTGCACCTATTTAGTTGTGATTTGTTAATTGTGTTTATTAATCCTAATGTGACTGTCAGTTCGAATTTGTCCTCCTTTGTCCTTGTCTTGACTTAAACATTTCATTGATCTATTTTGCCTTTTATTCTTTAAAATGCAAAGATTTCCTCCCTCTCCCCAAAGGGGTGATGTACTCCGGGAGTGGAGGCGAGGTGGCCATGCTCTTTTGTAGTACATGTAATATCTTACTGCTTCTTCAAATTTTGATAGGCTTATTCTTATCATCTGGGGACTTGTTAAACATATGGATTCCTGGAATCTTTTCTAGAGTAATAGAATCAGGTAAAATCTGTCCCAGTGTTTATTTTAACAACTGGATCCTATAATTCTGTTGCGTAGCCAGGTAAATGAAAGTTTTATTAATCCCTCTTATTTTGCTTGTTTTGGAAGTGTTCCACTGGGCATTTTTATTCCATTTTTCAAATATATATTAAAAAATTGGAATTATATTTGTTCATAAACTTATCTTGTTGCAATTTCATTTTTACCTTTTGGTTTTCTTTTTACATATATTTATTGAGACACTTGGAATTCCTTGGTTCTTTATGTTAATTTTAACATTGAAAGACATATTTTTTGTAATTGTATTTTTTGATACCCAGAAAATGTCAACCTTATAATTATCATTTATCCGTTACATTTTTGTTTGTTACCAATTTGGGCTATTTACCCCTTCTGTCACTTGATTATTTTAAAATTTTTGTTTTTAATTGTTTGATTTTGACTGAAATCTTCTACAGAACTATATTGTCACATCTATGAGCAGGTAATAACCAGAAATAGTAAATTTAACTTCTGAAGGTATGGATTTCTTTTCATTTATCGTGCTTCTTACTCCCCTGCAAATAAACTTCTTATGGGGAAAGTGATGTTAGGGTCTAAAAACTCTACTCTGTTGGTTCCAGTGTGATTTTTGCCTTGATGTTGTAGTAGTGTGATTGGGAAGTAGAAAGGTAGGGCAGATAGCAGAATCAGCACTTCCCTTGAGTAGTTTCTCACTCAGCAAGGGAGATGAAAAATGAATTTAAAGCACCTGTTTCTTAAAATTAGTTTTAGTTTTGGGGAAAAATGGCTTGCTTTTTAAAATTTCAATTAGCAAATGGGAAAACTGAATAGAAGTAATAGACTGACTTAAGTGGATGCATTAAGTTGTTTCATGCTGATTATATTGTGGTGTTAAAACTTTGAACTCATACATTATATTTTTAAAAGAACAATTATAATTTTCTATTATAGGAATCACATGCAGCCCAACTACAGATCCTTATGGAATTCCTCAAGGTTGCAAGAAGAAATAAGAGAGAGGTATATTATTTTGTGTATTTTACATAATGTTTTATTTACTGTTGTTGACTATTCCCATTTCCCCCCATTTTTGTAAAGGCATATCAGGCTAAAAATTTTTTTTTAAACGTTTAAAAGCATTTGTGTTTTCATGAGTTTTTCTTGCGCTTTGTTATTTTAACTTCTTTTACCTTTACAACTTGGTTCTTTAAAAATCCTTTATCTGGAGATGTGCTGAAAAGTCTTATATAGGAATGAATGCAATGACTTCCTTCAAAGCTATAAAAAATATAAAATAGAATTATCAAATGACAGCCTACCCTTTACCCTGAAAGAAAATTTAGATAATAGAGACTTAGATAGAAAGGGTTACAATTTTCGTAATGGTAAAAATGCATGACTGGGTAAAAACATGGCTACCTGTTTAGAACTTGGAAGGTGTAAGTCAGCAGGATAGCTAGAAGATAATTTTTTATTAACAATTTTATAACTGGAATGCTCTAATTTAACATTTTTGAAGTTCCTTAGTTATAGCACACTTGCACTGAATATGTAAAAATCAAAGTCAGGCTCCTGTGCCCTGGGCAGCATGCTACAGTAACCTGGAAGTTGTTTTTATGTCTAAGCCCCTAACTACCTCAGATCTCATGTGTTTTTATTTTAGTTGTCTAAGTGAGGTACTTTTCACTCATGAGATCTGACCACCTCGTATGTGCTAGACCCTAGGCTATCTTTATTATTTTTGAAAATTAAAAGATGAGAAATGTCTTTATTTTGATGAAATACTTTAAGTGTGCATTGCCAGAACCTTATATTGTCTTAATTTGATATTTCCCCTTTTTTGATTATTCATGATGTGTATCTTTAACTTTTTCTTAGCTTGTTCAGACAGACTTTTTTTGTGTTATGTTAGTGTTTATAGCTAATTATTTTTACATGGCTTGTGACTGTTATCCTTAACTTTTGTTAACAATTTTGATTTTAATATGTCTGTTATCAAAAACACTATCTTCATTATAAATTTAAGATTGATTTATTCTGCTTTTTTCTGTGTTTGTGGGAATACTTCTTAAACTTTTATATGTGTGTGAGAATCACCTGAGGATCTTGTTAGAATCCCAAGTTCTGATTAAAAGAGTGTGTGTTGGAGTCTGATAATCTACATTTCTAGCAAGCTCCTGGTGGTGATGCTCTTTGGTCCTTGGACTACACTTTGAATAACAAAGTTAAATTTTATAATATATGGAAATAAAACTATTAATTGAATATGCACACTCAACATTTTTTGCTATAGAAAGCTCTTTAGAAAAGTGATAATTTTTCATATTCTATACAGTACCCTCCACCCCCCCTTTTAAAACAGAATGTGAAATTGTTTTGCAGTAGTTGTATATGTTTCTTCTTCCCTTAGACTTTGAACTCTTTGAGAATGAGATTTGGTACTTAGGAAATTGCCTGATAATGAATGAATAAATCAGTTAAGTATCTGGGGGTTAAATGAAATGGCTGGTCAATGTCTGTGCCCTGTTATTTAAGGTTTTCATTAGCCCCTGCGATTTCTTAGTGCTTCTCTAGGGGTCTATTAATGCTTGCAATAAATTGTTAGATTTGAAATTGTTTCAGGTAATGAGGACATAGCATATAACTGTTAAAAAAGCTGTAAAGGTCTGAGATTTTTATCTTACTAGCAAGTTAACAAGGTAGTCTGCCACAGTTTATAGATGCTGGGAGAAGATGTGCGACTCCTGGGTAGGAGATAAAGTACTTAATTACATCACACCTGGCAGCATCAGCCCCATGTTTATATCAGTTCCTTGTGACCCCCAAGTTCTACAGGGGCAATGTAGAGATGGACACAGGTTGACACTGCACATACAATGGATTTATATTACAACTAAGGAACCCTGAACTTAGGAAACCTCAGTCTTTTAAAGGGGTCTGCTAGCAAACCTGTCCAGTCTTTGATGCAGAGACACACACTATTTTTATTATATTGATCAGAAAATAAATCTGCCCTATTTCCTGGAAGAAGGCACTGTTTCTGCCTTGCCAGAGCATTCTTTATACATCATTGAAAAGATAATTTGAAACAAAAGCTATCACACAATGAGCAGAAATGTGAGAGATCAGTGGAGAACTGATTCTTAACAATAACTCTTTCTTGTGATCCTAATTTGTCCTCTCTCTGATTGGTTGATGGCCTCCAGTAACACCCTTTATGATATTGCCTTTGATCACATAGCTTTTAGTATCAGTGTTTCTATTTTTTGTTATTAAATGTCTAGGGTAATTGTGTTGTAGAATTTTTCAGCTTACCTTTAGTTCGAAGTAATGTGATCTTGTGAATGATACATTTTCTTTAACCCTGGTCCATATTTTATTATGGTAAGCAGTTTAATGAAGACACATACTACTGTAGTTCCAGGTACTTCTGAATATTGGTGCCTCTCCTGTATACTGATTATATTGTCAATAATACATTTTGGTTTTCTTGTGTTCAATGTATCCATCATTCAGTGATTTTTGAGTATTTCAAGTTTAATTACACAAGGGACTTTGAGGAGCTAGGTTAACAAAATTTGAAACATTTGAAAATTTGGAGCTAGGTTAACAGACTTTTAAAAATTTACCTGTTACTTTGATTACATTTCATAAATTTCTTCCATAATTGGAGTTGGGTACATTAGTGATTTGTAATCATAATGAACTTTACTCTAGAAAATATAGTGGATTAATATCTCAAGATTTAGTGCAGACAGAATGAAGTGAGTGGTTATATTTTTTGCAAAATTATAAAGTATATGTTCATGTTTAATCCTCAAAATGAATATAATTGTTAGAGGTCTTATCTTTTGTAGTATAGTTTATACTTGAACTTATTCAAGCAAAATACAAAATGATCAGGAGGCATACTACTGCTTTTGCATTTATTTTCCTAAGATAAGCATTCAGACTTTGAAAATTAACTTTGTGATTTCATACTTATTTATTTATCTGTTCCTCACCCGAGGAATAAATTGATTTATTGATTGATTGATTGAGTGGTAGCCTCCTGTACACTCCCCTATCTGGAGATCAAACCCGAAACCTAGGTGTGTGCCCTGACTGGGAATTGAACCCGCAACTTTTTAGTGTATGGGATGACACTCCAACCAACTGAGCGACCTGGCCAGGGCCATACTTAACTTCTCATTGGGGTTTTGATGAGTCTTGATTTAGATATCGATATATACCAAAAAGAAGTTAAATCTGCTTTTAAGATTTAACATATTTATTCCACTGTCCCATCTCACTAGTATTTTAGGGCTATTAGAATCTTAATTTAATCTTCATTTTTGACTTATTTTATCCTACTGACTCTTTTGAATATTAAGAGACAGGAATGTGCACTTAGTATATCTCTGAATTAGTTTTCTATTGCTGTGTAACAAGTTACCCTCAAATTTAATGGCTTAAAACATCAAACGTTTATTGAATATCTTGGGTCAGGAACGCTGATACAGTGTAACTGAGTGCCTTGGCTCAGGGTTTCTTACTAAGCTACAATCAAGCTGTTGACCAGGACAGCAGTTATCTCAGTCCCACTGGGATAGGACCATTTCAAGCTCACTCACTGGCTCTTGGAAAGAAATGCCAGTTTCTTGCCACATGGGCTTCTCCATAGGATAGCTTACTACATGACAGCTAGCTTCCCTCAGGAAGTACGTGAGAAAGCAAGAGAGAGTTTTGAAAACAGCAGTCACATAGTTTTTGTAACTGAATCTTAGAAGTGACATCCCAACATGTGTACTGTTTTCTGTTCGTTAGAAGCAAATCATTAGGTCCAGCCTGCACAAAGAGAGGACATTACAGAAGGATGTGAATACTGAGAGGTGGGGATCTTTGGAGGCCTGCCTATACACATATTTAATCAATATATGTGTATAACTGAACATGTTATTCTTCATGTTCAGATTGAACAATTGGGCTTCGGTTTCCATGAAAAGCCAGTTTCATCTGTGCAAATTTGTATTAGCACTTGAACGAGTTGCTGTATATTTCATTTGATTTCATTTTAAAATATGCTTCTGGACATTTGTGGTACCTATTTAATTTGCTGTAATGGGGCAGTTTTGATGAGCCCTGGTTTCTTTTTGGTTTTGTTTGGAATGTTAATGAATTGAATGTTTCAATGTTTTTATGTGAAGTACACAGAAAAGTTTATTAAGCAGATTTACAGTTTAAAGAATCATAGTAGAGTGCCCATCCATGTACCACCATCCTGATTAAGCAATAGGTTATTGCTAGGAATTCTGAAGCTTTCTTCCCTTTCCAGTTTATATCCTTCCTCTTTGCCCATTAGGTAGTTAATATTCTGATATTTACGATAATCACCTCCTGTTTTTCTTAAGTGTTTTGATGCCTAAGTATTTATGTCTCTCTTTTTTTCAACTTACATAAATGCACTTCTATAGTAATATGTTGTTATTGTCTTCCTTGGCTCAGTGTTAAGATTCATCCGTATTGTTCTATGTGGCTGTAGTTGATTATTTTTGTTGTATTCTATTACATGAATATACCCCACTTTTGTTGCTGATGGACTATTAAGTTGTTCTTGGTTTGCAGCTATTCACAAAAGGCTCTACTGTCTTACATATGTATCCAGATGTATGTTAGCATATATATCTGTATGGAATGTATATAGAAGTGGGATTGATGAATCATAGGATATGAACAAACTGTTTTCCTAAGCACTTGTATTACTTTAGTTACACTTCCTACGGGCATTGTATGAGTCTTCCTATTGCACTGAACTTATGCCAATACTTGGTATCAGTAGACTTTTCAGTTTAGCTAATCTTTGGGGTATGTATTGCTATCTTTTTATGGTTTTAATTTGCATTTTTCTGATGACTAATTATGTTGAGCACCTGGTACTATGTTTATTGGCTATTTAAAGTTTTTGTGTATGTGTGAATTACTTGCTTAAGGCTTTTTGCATCTTTTCTGTTTTGTTAGTTGATTTTCTTAATGGTTTGTTG